GTTTCAAAGCCAAATGATTTCTTTAATCAGGGCATTAACAACCTGATTGTAAGATGGAAAAGCATCACTGATAAGTTTGGAGACTATTTCATTTAATAAGTGTTTTGTTTTGATATATGTTGTTTGGGTTTTTTTCATCTCAATTAATTTCTTGATGACCGATTACATTAGTTTTTACTGAAATGAAACCATATCAATGAATACTTTTAAAATACTGTGATTTTACTTGTTCTGATGCTTATTGTGATTGGAACATTTGCTCTTTAAATTTATGCATACTATAAAACAATAAAAACAACTAATCAACTCACTACCTGACTCAATAATAATCACTCATTAACTCACTTGTGTTTTTAAATATCACAATATTTTCCCCAAACTTGATATTTCAAGATGTCGATCACATCAGAGGAAACTTAGATATCACAGGTAATCATAATATAATGCACTGTAGCAAATACTTAAATAAAATATTAAAAAACATAGCCTACAACAGTATTATCTTATCAGAAATATAGCCACTCGTAATGGTTAGACAAAACTGCACAATGGCTGTTTGCATTAACTGTCCCTAGTTGTAAAATGATAGACTAGAAGGAAGGCAGCTAATCAACACCAGCTACTGCCAACATTGTCACACTAAACAGTGGAATTTGGCTGTTACTCTTATAACTCATCCAGAGCAATGGAAGGTTACCTTCAGTCTGACGTGCCAACCATTGCCCGAGCTTAGCCATTTTCAATGGCCACAAATCCTTGTACATTTAAAATTGCTGATAATTTATTTTCATCAGGTTACTCACTTTGGCTTGCTTTTTTCACTTCACTAAATTATTAAAACAAATATGTAACCAAAACAAAAAACACAGCAGACAACAATATATTTATTTACATTAGATAAATTGCTATGTAAAGGCTATAGAAAATTTATCATGGTGGTTTCAGATATTCTGGTATTCATTTCGAACTTAATTTATAATGTACAATTTTATTTCAGAGTTTTATTTAAATAAAAGGATTAGACTCAGTTGCTTAGGTTGTACTTGTTGGTTCTTTTTGTTTGTTCTTGTGGCATGGTAATTGTCCAACAAATGGAATTCTATATTTTTCAATTACACAACACAAGGTTGTGTTATTATTTCTTATGAGAAAAAAAAAAGCAAGAGAATCAATGATAAAAGAACTATGAAGTATAATCTGTTCTGCATTGGGAAAACTCTATATATACCTGACTTCGTGTAATACTTATACATCTCAACTCATAAGACAAAACAAAAAAGAAAACATTAAGCTTATTACTAATAAAGTTTCATCATCTACTCACTCTGTGGCCAATGGAGGGCAAGACAGTACCCTTATGAACATACCATTTTAAGTTGTTAAATGCAAAGCTGCACAATGAGCTAGATTCATTTGCATACCATAGGGATCAAACCTGAAATTTTTATGTTATAAGCCTCTAAGCTTTGAACCACAGGAAGATGTAAAAGTGCAGTTTATAACACACAATCAAATTATGTAATTGATAGAATTGTATGATCCACATTTTAAAGATATATTTTTATTTCTAAAATTAAGTTGAGCTTCTGAATTTCAAAGTGTCTAAGCAAAATATGGATGTGCATAAGGGGAGCAAACAGGACTCTCCCCAATAGCTCTATGCAGCATTTGTTGATACAATTTATAAATGTGTATATATAAAATGTGTGTGTGTTTAATGGACCTTCAACAGTGGTCAAATTTTTTAAATAATAAGAGAAAAGTTTTATTTTGCATTTGTTTTTGTTTTGTGACTGCACAATTCATTTAACATGAAAAAGTATTTATTTAACACTTTTAAAAATACAACATGGCACAATGCTGTAGGCTTACTTATCAAAGAAAATTTCTTATGATGGGATGTTTTATCTTTATTAACAAAGAGCTAGCTATGTTTATATATTTCAATGATAAAATCTTCCAGTATGGAATGATTGCTACTATTTTTAGCATTTAATTGTTCAGATACAAAAACAATGAAATAAATTAATGTACAAAATGTGGCAAGTTTACATGCTATAATTGGAATATGTGTTTCTTGTGATCATGATTATATATTTATACTTCCATACCTTCAAGGTATAAACTCATTTCTTGTCCAACTTCTTTGATAATTAGAGATTCCTTAGTTCATTTCTATCTAAAATGAAAATGCTTCTGTCCAGCCTTCACTGAAACCTCCATGTTTTTGCCTATTCTCATTTCAAAATCCATTTTCTTGGCCACACTTGTCCAAAGTTACAATTTTTGTTCATTCCTACTCTATAACTTTTTAATCATACATATTTAAACTTAAATTTTAGACTATTCATATTGAAGGATCTATGTTTTTGACCATGATTATCTAAAAAAAATATTATTTTTTTCACCTGCATTCAAAATTGAATGATTTCTTTGTCCATCATCATGTATGTTTTATTAACCAATTATATTCAAAGTTCAATTTTTTTTATCGTATGCTGTTTCACAGTTCCATATTCAAAGTTGAATGACTGAATGACAGAAGTCCACCATTATTGATGTTTTATAATCTAACCATATTCAAAGTTCAACTTTTATTCTCTTTGCTACTTCACAGTTCCATTTTGGCCATGTTTGTATTTATCCAGTCTAAGAAGTACTGTACTTTTGTATACACACCAGGTTTATTAGGTATAGCACAACCATTTCCCCAACTGATGATTCCCAATACAGTGTAGCTTTCTGTAAAACAATTAAAAGCTCAAGCTTAGTATGGTTACTTCTACTGTGAAAGAGCATATTTATACAAATATGCTAAATTACAAACATGTAAAATAATCACTTTGTAAAGCATCTAAATAATCATGCTTTATTACTGACACACATTTTTTTACTTGTATAAAAAAAACAGACTTGGAGTTTGTAATACTGATACCATTGATGATTTTAAGTCAAAAGGCTTACCCCTATTTTATCATATTGGCACAAACGTTTTTAACTCAAAATATCTAATTTTATTATAATACTAATACTACCAACATTATACTCTACAGACATTTCACATACATTTAAAATATATTAAAAGTAAAATATTTTAAGTAAGATATAACAGAAACACAAAAACTAAACATAACCAATATATTATTTTCCTCAGTATTCTTTATTTTAGGTTAATTTTCAATTTTCATTCTCTTAATTTGCTTATCACTCAAAATGAATAAAGTTCATCTGTATTCCACAAGTTACCATCTTTTCATAATTCCATTTGAAACAATTATTTTTCCAGCTGGTTATAAGGAAATTCAAAACAATAAATTATAAAACTATTAAAGATGATGTGAAAGAAAACTGATTGTATGTTTTTAATACCTACCACCTAATTTACATACTAAAGGTCCACCACTGTCTCCTTTGCAAGCATCCACTCCTCCTTGAAGGTAACCAGCACAAAACATTCCATTTGTGATCTTTTCTGCCCCATAAACATAAGGGTCTCTGCATTGGAACATATGCAGAATAGGCACTACTGTGCTCATTAAAGTATCAGCTGCTAAAAATTCAGAAGGAAAATTTTGCTTTCAATTATTAATTGTATTTAAAACTAATTCATCAGTACATTTTAACTGGAAATATGTTAATAATATTATATTTTGGGAACATAACAAAGAATTTTATTGATTATCAATTTACAAACTGTTAAGTAAATAAACAATGATTATTGATGAAAAAAGAGAATAGTTGGGTTAGTTAAATTAAATATCTGTTGCATTTAGATGGAAGAGTCTAAAAAAGTAAGAATTATAAACATTACTGCAGATTGGTTACAAAATACTTTACATTTCTGTGATGCAGTATTCCATAAATATAATTTTTTTAGTTCTTTTTATTTAGTACTAACAAAGCTCTAAAACTGGTGGCTTGATAACGTCATTTCATCTCTTGATGTTTTCCAATGGACTTGGCCTTACTAACCCATGACTCAAATGATTTTAGTCTCTGTATTACTGCTTTGTCTTCCCCCTCTCTCAAGTACTGATATAGTGGTTGGTGTATGACTGTGGTTGTTCTGAATAGCAGTTAACTGGCTAGAATCCTTTGTCTTGCAGTAATGCTGCTCAAATCAAGACAAAATCAGAGTTTGGTTTTTCCTGTTGCTATTCTAATGGCTTCATTCTGCACCTGTAATTTGGTAATTGCTGACTTTTCCACTAATGCACTCAAGTGATTTCTATACTTCATTCTGGTCATCACTGTTGCCGTTATCACACTGATGAAGCTCCTTGGAACTCTACTGGCACATGTCTGCATGGGGAGAGAGATATCTATGTGAGATCTGGTAGCCAACTTTGATCCAACAGGTTTTCCTGGTTGGATGAATATTTTATCTATGGTTCACTGGCAGAGGCTTTTTTAAAACCCTCTACTTGATACATGTGAGATGCTTGCAACAATTATATTATCACGATATGTATAGAGTGTCACTCTGAGGCTTACCAGTGATCTGACAAAATCAGATGTTATATCTTAAAAAGAACGTGACTCAGTAGGGATCCTTGTGGGAAAACATAGTTGAGTTAAAAAACTCAAGATTTCCATTTGCCAGATTTCAACCGAAAGTGCTCGGTGTCCAGTACAGCTAGCCTACATGATATAAGTATTACTCCCAGAGCTTTTACCTTCTTTGCTAAAATGCCAATATTTACTCAATTGTAAGAATCTTCAAGATAAAATACTCCAGCAGAGTAATGATATGGTGTTTAGATACACTACTGGGTGCTGTGTGTGTGACTGCCTTCATATTTGGGGTTGTGGATCTGCTTGGTACTGCTATTTCCATCTTGGTAGGCAGACAATCTTTCTCCTCCAGGATTCACATAAGAGTGTGATGGTTTTTGAAGGCTTTGGCAACATTACCATTGCTCAGTCTTTGAGGTCCTTCTCAACTTTCCCTTCCAGCATTGACCAATTTATTATCTCAGCTAGCTCTGTTTTCACATTTAAGGAAATAGTTTTCATTTTTGATGGCATGTTTCTCTTTCCTCCAATTTTGTTTATTAGATAAATTAGTTAGTTTTCCAACAATTCCATTTACTTATTTGTCATATATTTTAGCTCTAAATTTTAAAAAAGTTGTTGCTATGTGTCAGTTAAATTTAATAAATTTGACAATGAATCACAAAGGAATTAAGAAAAAGAAATAAAATATAGCATTACTATTCAAAATTTTCACATAGGCTATGTTCTAATGACAGCATATGTAAGAGTGTGCCATTGTGAGAACATAAATAAAAGGAAAATAAACTACAAGTAATACAACAAGCCTCTGATTATGACTAAGGTGTATTTGCATGGTCACTGAAACAGTTTGTTTGATTTGAATTTCCTGCAAAGCTACGTGAAGGTTATCTGTACTAGCCGTACCTAATTTAGCAGTGAAAGACTAGACGTAATGTAGGTAGTCATCACCATCCACTGTCAACACTTGGACTACTCTTTTACCAATGAATAGTAAGACTGACTATCACATTATAAGGACCCCACAGCTGAAAGGGTGAGCAAGTTTGGTAGGACAGGGATTTGAACCCACAACGACACAGATTGGGAGTCAAGTACTGAAACATAATAACATTACAAGCGTTTGAAGTGTCAATTACCATTATCAGTATATATGTGTGACACAAAAGTCCTTATAAAAAGTTGCATACATTTGGGTGTCTAACAAGTGAATTTAACATAACATGGATAGATTATTTTAAGAATAGGTTTTTTTTTAAGATTTATAAGATCTAGTGCATGAAATATCACACATTCAATATTAACTAAAGGGCTCCCCCACATCTAAATGACTTAAAACTTTAGATCAAATTAATTATTTGATGAAAACCATTTTCAGTAATCCTGAACAGTAGGTACAGATAAACACTGAACAAGAAAAATCTTGGTTATAAGTAGTGATTTACAGGTACCCGGGCAAATATTTGGTCATGGCTGGGTATTGGGTTACCCAATAATACTCGGCTCTGGCCAAGTGTCGAAGTTAGGCATCTAGGCCCTAATCTTTATAGCAACTAACACGATACTGAAAGTTACAGTAAATAATTGGTTTAATTATAAAAAACGTGTTCTGAACTACAAAAACTGACCGCCTGCTGAATGTCGGGGATTCAAAGAACAATAGAAGTTAATGGCTTGAGAAGTGGATTTCTGAGGAAGGTGGGGTTTTTGAGAATAATAGGGGTTAGGGTTTGAGAAGTTGGGGCTAGGCATTGAAAGTTGAAAGTAAAACCTGAATGTTCTGTTGGGGATTATTTGGTTAAATGTAATAAACATCAATTTTGTTTTTGTTTCTAATTTTTGTGTATGTTTTTTTGGGGGGGGGGCAAGGGGAGAACACGGTTCCACTTGACACTCAGCCCTGGCCAAAGCTTAGTGACTGGGTACCCAGACCCAGTATTCAGCCAAATTTTACTACCCATGCATCCCTAGTTATAAATGTTATATATTTTAGACAGATGGAAAAGTTCAAGAGAAAGGACTGTAATCATAATAAACACATTGTTGTTCACTTACTTCATTGAGTCTTACTTATCATATATATACAACTCACAAAAATTCGAGGATAATGAGGCTTCGATATTTTTTTTCAAAATTCGATATTGATGAAACTTGTTTATTACAAATATTTCAGGTAACCAATACCAAACAAGTTGAAAATGTATTTATAAAAGTAAAAAAAAGCAATATTTGCAAATGCTGCACATATATAAAAGAAAAATAACTTATTAAGATGAACAAGCTTAACAACATGGGTCTTTAGTATTTCTATTGTTTAAGATTTATCTGCACCTGTTCCCCATACTGCTGATGATATTTCAGATGACTTGCTGGGGGAAGCACATTCCACTCCTTGATGAGGGCAGCTCCTGAACAATCATAGAAATAGGTTGTCTGACTCTAACTGCCCTCTCTAGCAAAGCTCACACATGTTCAAATAGATTTAGGTCCAGTGCTTAGCAGGTCAGTGTAGTACTTCTATTCTTTCAACTTTAAAAAAACTGCTAAGTGATCCTGGTGGTGTAAGGACAGGCATTACCCTGATGATACATGAACACATCTCTGACAACACCAGCAAAAGAGTGAACAATGAGTAGCAGGATCTCATCCATGTAACGTCTTGTTGCCAGAGTTCCTCCATCCACCACACAGAGGTCTGTATGCCCCTGCATGTAGATGCTACTCCAGACCATGATTGAGCCACTGTCAAAGACAGCATGGTGGATAATGTTACAAGATAAATATTACCCTCCTTCACATCTCAAGACTCTCACACATCAATTACTTGAAGATACACGGAACCTGCTCTCATCTGTGAACAGTATAGAGATCCATTGCTGAAGGGTCCAGGTGACATGTTCCTGGGCAAATGCCAGCCTGGCTGTTCTGTGCCTTGGGGTTAGTACAAGGACTCTAACTTGTATCCTGGACCTTAGCCCAGCCTCTTGGAGCCTGTTCCTGACCATTAAGCAAAATACATGAACTCCAGTGGCTTGCTTAAGTGTGATCTTGAGTCCCTCAGTGCTGCTGGTGTGGATTCTAAGGGCTAAATTCTGTAGATATTGATTGCTTACTGCACCCATAGTACTTATGTGATCCTGGCCTGGCCTCCTGGTGTATTTTCCTGTGGGCTGGTATCTGCATGACAATCTACTAACCACTGATTGTGAAATCCTTATGACCTGTGTCACCTCAGCCTGGGTACAATTCTCCTGAAAGTGTGACAGCTCTACAAATTTCATTTTCAGTTAATTGATTTCTAACAGTTTGCAGACTCTTTGAAAAAGTCAATACCAGCAACAAAATCCATAAACCTAGCATTATCTCAACAGTAAGTATCTTTCCCAAATCAATCAAAAACTAACCTTTTGTTGTGCAAAAGGCCTATTACATAAGGAATTATCAGTGCATAAACTTGCAAACCCTAGGTAGGATTAGTGTAATCCTCTACAATAAGCATGCTAAATTTGGAAAAAAATATCAAAAACCTAAAAAGGTACAAATTTAAACAAACCTTATTATCTTTTAATTTTTGTGAGTACCATACAGACTTTCAATATACATACACATCTGGGTACATTCTTTTGAATCTGGAAAGCTGTGTAAACATGTGTGCTTGGTGTTTTAATCTAAGTTAAATCAGCAATAGATTGAATTATTGCTAAGAAATTTACAACATTGAATGGCATAAAACATGCACATATACATACATATATGTTTCAACATACATCTAATACATCTTAAAAAGTCCTAATAATCGGTTTATTTTTACTTTAGATAATTGTATTTACTTTTAATATTTGATTAATCAAGCAAACAACTTATAAGATACTTCTTTAATATCCTCAAATTAGCAAAACTTGCATAATGACTGTTGTTATACATATATAAGTATTAAAGTAAACAAAACCAAAACTAATGTTTATTGGTAAGTAAAACAAAAACTTACCTGATGTTTCACCAGTAGTTCCCCATCCTGAGATGATGCATTTTGTCCCAGGATGGTAGCGTATGTTATATACAGGAAGACAGACAGGTTTAACATGCGAGTTGAAGAAGATCCCTCGACCATTCTTTGCCCTTATTCTTATCAGCACAATATCATTATTCAAATATGTCCCTGTCATAATCAAAAAAACTATTTAGAGAGACTGAACATTTTTTCTTAGTTATTTTGATACAGAGAATCATTTACAGAATATTTTAATATTTCTCAAAATTTAATAACAGATGTAACAATATTATAGAGAATCAAAAAATAATAATATGAATTTTCTATTCATTCATCAGTACAAAATATTACTGAACATATTGTATATTTCACCAGCAAGTAAAACCCAATATTATACATCATAGTCAGCTTCCAAATGACTTTTAAAACTCCAGAAATTATGAGTATATTACTAGTTACCATGTGCATCATAACATTTTCATTCAATTTCTTTGTGTTGTGCACGTACATTGCCGTAGGAAGCAATTTTGGAGTGGTCAGGCCATTGCTACATTACTATTTCTAGGGGGCTCTGGGGGCAGCACCCCAAGAACATTTTTGAAAATGTAATGCTATGAGATTGAATCCTGAGCCATTTTAACTACAAATACTGCATATACACAATGTAATGTATTGAATTAAAAGAAGCAAGTTTAAATATATAATTTTTATCTATACATGTCATGAAAAAGTGATCAGGCCATGGCCTGACTAGTGTTTCTGCTGACCTACTATTCTCAGAGTAGTACTATCGCCATAATGTACTTCTTCAACTCACAAGCCTATATTCTTACAGTTAAAAGTTTTAACTGTTTAGTTTTCTTTAATGAAACCTTTACAAACAAAAGGGTAACTATCCTTCCACAGTATAAGGATTTACAATGGGGTGATTAAAGGCACATCTCTTCTATACAGTCATAAAGAATGTCAGAAAATGAAAAAGGTAATTAATAATGCAATACAGAATCTTGTTACTAATACTTTGTAAGAATGAGTTGCATATCCCTATGCAGTAGCATGTCATGGCTCCATAATATGTTTGGCAGCTTGACATTTTGGTCAAGGTGAGTTCCTGACCATTCCTAGATTCACTGATTTCTCTCAGAAAGAAGCCACAAGATAACTAAAGGTTTCCCAGAAACTGAATAACAGAGTAGAGGTCTGACTTCCCTTGACTTGGACTGAGTCTGACACAAAGAAAGAGACTGGACACAACATTTTACACAGCAACAATCTTTATTCAAAAACAAATGAAAGTTAAAAATTAAACAAAGGCAATTGTTTAATGTAAATTGCTAACCATGTTGATGTTTAATAAATGTAACAGTGAAAGATGCTGTGAGAGAATAAGGGTCATGAGGTGATGCTGTTGAATGGACAAAGAAACCAAGTTTGCCTGTTGCATTCAGGCTCACTTTCTTAGTTTAGTTACAACAGGAGATCATCATGTTTAGTTCTACAGAGATTAATCCTGAGAGAAACAAAGCTATGGGGCTAAGCACAGCCTAGTAGAAGTGACTGCCTTTTATTTTCTTTGTTTGTCAAAAAATGAAGATTGTTTTCATTTTTCCCAACTCCGTCCAGTCTAAATAATTTACACACACAAACACAGAAGACTCAGTTAAATTATCTGATCAGAATCAGTCGCCATATTTCCTGAATGCATTTGTAGTTATTAACAGATCAATCTGTCTAATACTTGTTGGGAAACAAGTAGTTCTTACTTGAAAATACCACAACTTCACCTATCTTACTGCCTAGCAAGATATGGACAGTTCATTCTGATGTGACCTTGCTGCCCCCGGTCAAAGAAAATGCTTTGATCCTCCATTCCATAGCAAAGTCTTATCAGAGACATTATTGGCATTGGCTACAGTACAATCATCATGGCAGGGCTAGGAAAGCCCATTCCATTCACTATAAACATGTGTGGTTGTTCTGCAGAGCTGAGATTTGTCAACTGCTGGTTCACCCTCAGTAAAGATCAAGCTCAATGCTACTGCTGTGGGCTTGTCTCCTTTCCTGCAACCTATTTGAAGTCATTACATCAATCCTTATTGCCATATAAATTACTTCTGTTAAGATGAGAATATTTCTCGCCCCCAAGTGGTGTCTCAGTTATCATCTCACTTGATAGCCCCTCTACAAACTTGTCAACAAAGATGTCTTCACAATCTGCAGATGCTGTTGTAAGTTATGCCTTCCCATGCAATCAGTACAAGTCATTGGTGAAGACACCCTAGTTCTTAAATTCAACCTGATGGACAGCTCAGTTTTTCAACTGGTTGAAATGTCACCATAACTTGGCTATTATCATATCCCAGTTCCATAGCTATACTTTGCTCAAGTGTTAGATTGCATTAAGTGCTGGGCCATTCAAAGTCAAGATTAGGCATTGCATTACCTGCTCCCAAGTCCAGCCATTGCAAGCAGTAACATTTTAGTGATCAGAGATAACTTCTATTGGACTAAATTGGTCAAGATCATCTACTAGACTGCTTAAAACTTATGTTATCTACTTCAAAGTTATCAACAGACTTACGCAGAACAATAGCACTACCAACATGACTGGTAATTCTCATTCAAACTTAATGGAGGCATCACCTGACCTATCATTGGATGACACTGCTGTTGACATCCTTGCACAATGTGAAGCATTAGAGCCATACCTCCCATGGGCAGACTAGATGCTACCTCACACAAATTAAAAAGGACAAAGGCAGCTAGAACAAAAGCAACTTAAGAACTTTCTTGACCACGTATTACATGAAATTCCACATATGAAATTAGCAGATGGATGGTATTCTTGTATACCACAACAGCAACAATCTTTATTGAAAACACAATTAAAGCTAAAAATTAAATGAAGGCGAGTGTTTAAGGTACTCTGTGAAACTGGAGGGAGGGAGAGACCTTTCTTAG